ATACCAGACACTCAAGTTCACCCATCTTAGATTTCATGCATTTGTATACAAGCACTTATAAAATGTGTCACTATTTAGTTGTCTCCGTTCATGTGATGTAACTGAATGGGACTCTTTTTCATTTGACTGTCTCTTCAGCTCCTATCTGTACTCTATCAACTTCTATCCTCTCCTCTTTACTAAGATATAGAGTATACCCTTTAGTAAATCCTCCCTTAAGGAATATGTTTGTCTGAACTGTGTGCTTCTCTACATCTGTCGGCTTTCCCCCAACCCTTAGTTTTAAAATGCCTCTATGACCTTTTTATTTTTACATGCTAGTAATCTGGCTAGTACATCTTTCCTGTCTAAGCTTCTCCTTTCCCAAAAGGTTCTCTAGTTCCTAATAAACCTAAATCCTTCCTCTGAACATGATCATCTCATCCACACATTGAGATCCTTCAGTTCTGCCTGTCTCACTGGCACTGTGCATGGCATTGCAACCATTTCAAAAAATGCCACCAGGGAGGTCCTGGACTTCAATCTCCTACCTAGCTGCCTACATTTGGCCTCTAGGGCCTCTTTCCTACCTTTCTCTGTGTCATTGGTACTTAAATGTATCACGACCATCACTTAAATGTACCTCCTCCCCAGCACTGCACATACATCTGTCTAGATGTCTCGAGGGATCTGCAACCTTTGCACCCAGCAGGCAATTCACCATGTAGTTCTCCTAGTCATCACAAACTCAACTATATGTATTTTAATAGTCAAATCCCTGATTACTATTGTCTCTTCCTAATAACAGGGATCCCCTCCCCTGGAGAGGTAACCTCAGTGTGAGAAAATACCATAACATAATCTGAAACTGTGGGATCTGCTCTAGCTTGATGTTCTCCTTCCCTAAGACTTTCATCCTCTTCAATAGCACAGTGGCTGTTGGACTGGGTGTGAGACTGCTCTAATGTGGCCCAGAAGGTCTTGTTTGTGTACCTCTGTTTCCCTTAGCTCCTTCAGTTCAGCCACTCTTGTCTCAAGCCCATACTTATCTCAGAGGGGAATGGAGCTGCTTGCACCGAATGCACACATGCCTCCTGCCCACACTCAGGTGATCATACATGCTGCATTCAGTCCACTCCGCTGCTGCCCTTCTGTCTGCATTATTTTTACTCTTGCAGGTTGTGTTTTTTTGGGTTTTTTTTGAGGGGGGCATTTATTACTCTAAGTTTATCATGTAATAAACATTCTATCTAGCTTTCATGCTCCCTCTCTAAACTCCTTGTCAAAACTCCCCTGCTTGCTGCTCCTGTTCACTAGCTCCTCTAGTTGCATAGGAGCTGGCTGTCAGTGTCTGCGTTCTAGAGCTAGGCACTTTGTGCCAGTTACTGTACACCTCTCCCAAAATGTCTACACCCTTTGAAATCTATTGACCAATTTGCTTTTTCCTTTCAATACTGAAATCAGTATGGGTGTCTTCTGCAGTGTTTAAGGGCCTGATTCTCTACTCAGACTGTAGAGTAATCAGTGGAGTAATAGTGGTGTAAATGAGAAGGAAAATCCAGCCCTACCATTCTGATTTGGTAGCATCACAGATGCAAATGACTACACAAAGTACAAGGCAGTGGAGAGACTCAAGCCCTGAAAGTGAGAAGGGAATATTACGAGATTAAAATGACCAATTGGAAACATTTACCAGTGCTTTGTTCAGTCTTGTTTTAAATGCATTTGGCTTCCATCCTTTTCCTTTGAAGGCTATTGCTCATTGTATCAGTTCTTATCCTTAGCAAATTTCTTCTGATATTCAGCCCATGTTTTCCTTTTGATTAATGCATCCCACCCATTTTGATATTACTGTAACAGCAGTCCTTGGCCCTGGTCTTGGAAAACTTGCACACACACAGGAGTAGTCCCATATGAATTGCAGTTAAGCATGTGCATAGACCTTTGCAGAACCGAGGCCTTTAAAGATGAACTGCAAATCCTTTTAAAAAAAAGTTTTAATGTCCTTTATGCTCTTTTATGTTGTATAAAGACTGTTTAAATCGGTGGTTCTCAACCCACAGCCTGCAGTCCGCTTGCGGCCCAATCAGCACACAGCTGCGACCCAGGTGACATCCTCATGGCCATACAGTGTATATATATTGTGTGGATGTGTCCCACGTAACCCACAGAGAGCTGCATTTGTGGTCCAGAATGGTAAATAGGTTGAGAACCACTGGCTTAAATTCTTCTGTCAGTTTCCTCTGGACGCCCCTCTTTTCCCTCTTGGAAGTATCAGATCCTCTCTTCCCTGTGTGGGGCTCTCTGTGCAGCAATTTTTGTTTGTGTCGAGGCACTGTAAAGCTGTAGAAATATCTGTAGTGCTAGCACAGAGAAATCACAATAACTCCACTGTGTTCAGTGCTCTCCGTGCTTGTATCCCTGGGGAAGGATTTGCCCAGTAATTTTTATTGGAACCTATAAAGTTCTCTCCAAATAGCGCAGTTCAGGAAAAAGAACAGTGCATCTTTTCATATATATCGTTAATGGTTTTTATTAGGGCTGTCAATTAGTCATAGTTAACTCACACGATTAACTCAAAAAATTAATCGTGATTAATCACATTGTTAAACAATAGAATACCAATTAAAATGTATTAAATATTTTTGTGTATTTTTCTAAATTTTCAAATGTATTGATTTCTGTTACAACACAGAATACAAAGTGTACAGTGCTCACTTTATATTTTTATTTTTGATTACAAATATTTGCACTGTAAAAATGAAAGACAAAAGAAATAGTATTTTTCAGTTCACCTCATACAAGTACTGTAGTGCAATCTCTTTTCCGATGAAGTGAGCTGTAGCTCACGAAAGCTCAAATAAATTTGTTAGTCTCTAAGGTGCCACAAGTACTCCTTTTCTTTTTGTGAATACAGACTAACACAGCTGCTACTCTGAAACCTCTCTTTATTATGGAAGTGTAACTTACAAATGTAGATTTTGTTTGTTTGTTACATAACTGCACTCAAAAACAACCCAATGTAAAACTTTAGAGCCTACAAGTCCACTTAGTCCTACTTATTCAGCCAATTGCTAAGACAAACAAGTTTGTTTACATTTACGGGAGATAATGCTGCCCGCTTCTTGTTTACAATGTCACCTGAAAGTGAGAACAGGTGTTTGCCTGGCACTTCTGTAGCTGGTGTTGCAAGGTATTTACGTGCCAGATATGCTAAACATTCGTATGCCCCTTCATGCTTTGGCCACCATTCCAAAAGACATGCTTCCATGCTGATGATACTCGTAAAAAAAAAAATAAAAAAAAATAGTGTTTTAATTAAATTCGTGATTGAACTCGTTGTGGGAGAATTCTATGTCTCCTGTTCTGTTTTACCTGCACACATCTGCCATATATTTCATGTTATAGCAATCTCGGATGATGACTCAGCACATGTTTGTTTTAAGAACACTTTCATAGCTGATTTGACAAAATGCAAAGAAGGTACCAATGTGAGATTTCTAAAAATAGCTACAGCACTTGACCCAGGGTTTATGAATCTAAAGTGCCTTCCAAAATCTGATTGGGATGGGGTGTGGAGCATTGATTTTAGAAGTCTTAAAAGAGCAACACTCCGATGCAGAAACTACAGAACCCGGACCACCAAAAAAATCAACCTTGTGCTGGTGGCATCTGACTCAAATAATGTAAATGAACATATGTTGGTCCACTCTGCTTTGGATTGTTTTTGAGCAAAACCCATCAGCAGGGTGGACATATGTCCCCTGGAGTGGTGATTGAAGCATGAAGGGACATATGAATCTTTCGTGCATCTGACATGTAAATATCTTGTGATGCCGGCTACAACAGTGCCATGTAAATGCCTGTTCTCACTTTCAGGTGACGTAAACAGGGGCAGTATTATCTCCTGCAAATTGCAACCAAACTTGTTTGTCTGAGCGATTGGCTGAATTAGGACTGTGTGGACTTGTAAAACTTTAGAGCCTTCATTGTTTGTTTTATTTTTGAATGCAGTTTTTTTTGTGTATAATTCTACATTTGTAAGTTCAGCTTTCATGATAAAGAGATTGCACTACAGTATTTGTATTACATGAATTGACAAATAGTACTTTGTTTTTTACTGTGAAAATATTTGTAATCAAAAATATAAAGTAAGCACTATACACTTTGTATTCTGTGTTGTAATTGAAATCAATATATTGAAAATGTAGAAAATATCAAAAAATATTTAAATAAATGGTATTCTATTATTAAGAGCGTGATTAATTGTGCCATTTAATTTTTTTAATCGCTTGACAGCCCTACTTTTTATTCTTCCATAGTTGTAATAATGACCAGTTAGCAAGGAATTCATTCACAGTGTCTCCCTACCTTTATTTGCACTTACTAGAAAAATGTCTTATAGTAAAGGAGGTAGTCACAACTTGTATTAAGTTGTAATTAGCTAAAATTATAATATTGAATAGTTTTCTTTCCCCGGCGCGCACGCTCTCACACTCACTCTCACCAGCATTGCCCACTCTAGCCTCTTCTCTCTACGTGCTCTACTTGCTCCACTTCCACCCCTGTCTCCAATCTGGATCGATTACACACTCTCTCACACTCACACACCATTGCCCACTCTAGCCTCCCCTCTCTCTTCTTGCTCCTGGCTTCTTGCTCTCTTCTTGAACCCATTCCTGGCTTCAACCTGGATTATCAAATTTCGGGGCATTTTTGAAAGTGGATCCGCATTGCAACTCGGGCAAAAGGCACAGTAAGGGCAGCAGCTTCATTGGGGCTTCACTTGCCTTAATGGTCATATGCGTTGTACATGCCCATTAGACAATAGTAGGAGGGTGAGCATGTGCAGAAGCAAAAAGGGCATGTTTGGAGGCTGGGCAGATTCTCTCAGCGCTAAAGATTTTCGTGCACATGTAAACTTTGTAATTTCAAGTTTTTTATAGGCATGGATGCATTGCTGATAATTGAAATAGCCACTTAGATTATGACTTGTTTGGGATTCCTTCTTTTTGTTTTAGAACCTCGCTTCAAAATACCGAAGAACATCAAGAGAGACAAAGGGTCAAGGTAAGACAACCTGTGTGCTGATCTTTTTTGGATATTGATGCAAAACTATAAATATCTGTGGCGTTTAAAATATTGTGTGTTAGATTCTCTGATATGTAATATGTTCTTCTCCAGCACTCCCCACCCCCCACCAACTGCTTCATCCATTGTCCCATTCCAGCACCGCTCCCACCCTACTTCATTCCCCTTTACACCTGACTGTCACTAACAATCCCCTTGTCTTCCACCCATCTTCACTCTCCTGATCTGCTCCAGCCTCTCGTCCTTCCCTTCTTCTCTTCCCACTTACTTGTTGGCATCCTCATCTTTCTGGCCTGCAAACCCTCTCACACCACTGACCTGGAGAGGCTCCAGCCTCTCTCCAGTCTCCGCTGACCTGCTTCAGCAATCCTTCCTCCACTCTCAACCTGCATAAATAATGCTATAGGCATTTCAGGAAAACTCAGAACAAGGGAGAGAGTCAGGGCAGCAGTTTTATTTTCCCATTGGGCATATGCACATAATTTGCATATGACTTTTGGGGCAGTCTTAGGAGTCTGGACATATACGGGTTAACAGGTTACTTTGGATTCTGTTCTTTCTTTTTAGTACATCACTCCACCTTCCCTAAGAACAGCAAGACAGTCATCAGGACAAGGTAAGACAACTTGTGTGCTGCGGGTTTGTGTGAGTTAATTCAAAAGCGTAGGCATATTGGGAAGTTGATTGATTGTGACCTGTGTTAGAATTTGGTGTGCAATTTTCAGGCATGTGTCATGTGCAGTGAAAACAAATGGCTTTACTTCTGTGAGCACAAAAAGATGTGCCGGTATGAGTATCCAGAATATACAAGCTTAAAAAAAAAAAAGGCTTATTTTGACTTCCTTCAAGGAAATTTTGTCCATGAACAATTTTTAGTTGCACATCGGTCTTTGAATGAATTTTACACTATGAATTATACTGCTTTTTCACTAGTAATGATCAGATTATTGACAGGATGATTCTTTCTTTAGCATACAGTACAAATCTGCCTTAGCTGAACATGGGGGGTGGTGGGGGCACGATGAGGAGTGTGGAATCCTTCTGAGTCGTATGTAGCATGTTAGACATCCTCCATTAGTTAAGGCACTGACTTCGATTCACTGTCAGAAGTTTGGCTTTAGTACATTTAACTTAGAACTGACTTTAATCTTAATTAACTGCAATATCTGTCAATAATGATGATCATTTAGTTGTGTAAAATGGAAAGAATATATTATAATGAATGTTGAAGGCGTTACATTGCATCTTTCATCAAAAGATTTCTAAGTGTAAATTATTCACCGATTATTAAGATCATCTAGGCTGACCCCCTGCATAACGTAGACCATAGAATTTATTCCTATAATCGGTCAGTTTTAGGGCTGAAGCTGGATTGTTGGTGTCTAATTGGAACAATTTATTCTCAATATAGAGTGAATATATGAAGGAGGAAGTGGGGGAATCTGCTGAAGATGAGGCGATTGAATCGGAAGAAGACCCTGAATTTGATGAAAGAGTTGGATGCCTTTCCAAAGGTTCCTGAGAGCTATGTGGAGACTTCAACAAGTGGTGGAACAGGTAAGCCTTACTGAGACACTGGTGATGGCTGGCCTGATTAATTTGGTGAGTCTCTTTAGCGCATTTTGGTAGTAAATGTTTCAGTTGTGGGAAGACATGAGTTTACAAATGTGGATTTAAAAGACCTATACGGTGCTGTAGCTAATCCCTTTCAGGTGATGGCTCAATTTGTTTCTCCTGCTGTTGGACAAAATGTATGAATCTGTCACATGGGAAATTCTGTCCAGTAGTTAAGAATCAAACAGATGTAAGGGGTATATGTGCACCTATGATATAAATTAACAAAATGAGCTTTAGAGAGAGTTATGAATTTACCCCCCCCCCCCCCCAAACATGCTGTGCATACTTTCTAAATGGAATACAATTGAAGTGTACTGTAGCTACACTAAAATAAGACTGTCTATTGTGTCCCTCCTTCCAAAGCCTGCACTTGTGGAGTCCCACAAGGATTGGTCTTTCCCCTATCCTGTTCAACATCTATACGAAGCCATGACAATGTGAAACAGCATGGACTGAAATACCAGCGATATACAAGTGATATCCAGCTCTATATCACTTTAACATCAGATGCGAAAAGAATCATCTTCCCTAACTATTCTCTGGAAGACTGAGGCAATGTTAGCAGGGTGAGGGAAGCACTCAGTAATTCTGTAATACCCCCTCCACTGAAGGTATTTGTGCAGACTACAGCCTCAGTGTTCACCTGGGCTCCTCTCATTTCTATCTATAGGTGTCAGACCAGGCCAGAGTCATGGTTCTAACTGGCAATGCACAGCATGTGTCTCCAGATAAACCTCAGACATCTTTACTGTATTTCTGTGTGTATTCACAATAGCATGACTTTATGCATAATTTCTCAGTTCCAATGAGGACGTATGCAATGCACCTCTTGGATTAGAAATTGGCCATTAATCCAGTTTTTGGTGCTTTTTAATGTGTTCATTTGCTCAATCAAACACAAAGTGGGCTGAGTTTTGTGCATCTATAATTATTACAAAAAGAGGCTGGTAGCCTTGTTACTGGATTGATATGCACAAGTGACTTCCACAGGTTACCTCTTCTTATTGAATGAGTGGTGCATCTTATTTCCCTTATTTGTTTTTCTTGGCTGAGACTAGAAGCATAAATCTGTGATATGAAAGTCCAAGTTCTATAAGCCTGATTGGTACCAAGGCATTTCGTGCCCCCTAGGCATTTCTTGCCCAGTCTTAACCATTTTAAGTTAGAGAAAGGTACGTGGGGTCTGCCACAGTTCAGGGCAACTGCACCTATATTCCCCCTCCGTAATCCCTCAAGGGCATCCACTCTAGGCTCCCAGCTCTTCAACTGTCACCTCTCTTTAGCAGACAGCTGCATCTATCTCCCTGCAGACTGCGGTTTTTCCAGGCTGCACAATTCCCTGCCTACTCTGTGGTATTCCCAGCAAGCCAGACTGCCTAAACAGGCCAGCATCTGCACTTTGTTTTCTCTCCAGAGATTATATGAATAGCGTAAATACTAGCAGTTGTATGTTACCACCCAGCTCTTTTTAAGCAAACTCATTTATTCTTAAGGGAAAAGCATTACAGAGAAAACATTATAAATATTAAAGAACCTACACACATTCTATAAAGCTTACTAGAGGTCACGCAACTCTGACTTCAGGCTCCAGTAGGTGTCAGCCTTTCCATGAGGATTGGGGCCCTGCCTGGGGCAAAAGGTCCTGTCCATTTGCTGACCCAGAAAGGAGGTTTTGAGTCAGTTTAAACTCAGGCTGTTTATCCAAAAGTCTCTTCTTTGTCTGTTGGTCGGGGAGAATCCAGTTTTAACCAGTATATGTGGAGCTGGTTCCCAGGAGCTGGTGCATTGCTGTGGGGGTTGCAACCTTGCTGATTTGCCTTAATCACCACTGACTGCTTTTAGTTAGGAGGAGTTGTGCATGGAGTAGAACACAATCATATATAAACTATTCATTTAAAACAATAGACCTAAAGCTACTTAAACTTAATTCAATAAGGTCTCCCAAGGATATACAGGAACTGATCATATCTGTTACAGGGTAATGCTGCAAACATCAGGGTTTACTTTTTATTCAGGCTATTTTAACTAAAGGAAATCTTCTGTGTGAATACCGAAAATCCCAACGGGCTCTGTGTTTAGTAGCCTGTGCTGTCATTGTAATGGAGCTGGATTTGATTTTCAGGCCCTGTGCATGGTGATGGATATATTGTACACACAATATGCTTAGCCTTTGAGCAGAGGGCAGAGCACCTGGATACCATGATGATGGGGCACTTCTGTAAATAAGTAGCTGGAAAGCTCATCTTGCTCTGTGGTTATCTTTGTATTTGAAAAAGGATCAGCAATGATGGACTTAAGTCCATCCAGCACCCCTTATTCATGGAAAGTTATTATCATGTGGCATCCTTGAAGTGGAGGGAGAAAATTTTTATGGACTCTATGAAATGTTTTCTGAGGACACAGCCCATCATACCCAAAATATATTTTTGGATTGGGACTTGCAGTATTTTTGTTCTTCCTATGTAAATGAGAAAATTGTACAGTTGATGATGTGTTTCTAAGAGAATTTTTGCACTTATGGCTTATTTGTGATAAATATAGTCAAGACCTGAACTCAATAAATTCATTTATTTGCACAAAAATGCCTTCCTTAAGTATTAAATTCTTTTTATTGTTTCTTTTTTGTAAATGCCAGCAGTAAATAACATTTTCTCACAAGCTGATCCTTTTTCTTTTTGATTTTTCAGTTTCTTTAATAGCATTTACAGCTATGGCTTTATTAACCATACTGGAGTTTATGGTGTATCGAGACACCTGGATGAAATATGAATATGAAGTAGACAAGGATTTTACTAGGTAACTTTTTATTCCTTAGAATTTCTTTTAAATTTAAGTTGTCTGCGTTTCATCAGCTGTTCTGAAAAAGAATGGATTTAAAATATTCTTGCCACTCATTAGCAACTACAGTTTGAAATTAAAATGGAAACAGGTGATTTACTTTTTGTTTTGTTGTTTAATACGCTGGGGCCAGGTTCAGTAAGAAACTGAAACACATCCGCCTTCCATGAAGAGGGAAGAGACTTGCTTTCAATCCAGCAACTTTTTGGATGTAGTCTCAGCCAAATCTAACACTTAAATCCAAGGTGCTGTTCTGGCACTCTTTCAACATTTTTGTCAGTATGCTTCTTGTTTTGCTTCTGAGTGCAGTTCAGAGTGATGAAGATTAATTTTAAAGCAATTCGCTGTCGACAACCAAGCTATCTGAAGATTGCCTGTCATCTTACTACATGTCATGACAACCGAGGTTGGCTGGAGATACTCTTGCTGTCAGTTCCATGTGCTTGCCTGATTTTTCTGAGGTGCTACGTGCTCACAACTCCACTTGAAGTCAGTGGGAGCTGAACGTGGTCAGTGCCTCTGAAGATCGGGTTTTGTGTAACCCAGTTCACAGATGTGATGTACATTTTTGAAAATTGGCTTAAAGTGGTGATTGTGTTATGTCAAAAGTTCAAAAAGACCTATTTATTCAGAAAAAGAATTTCTATAATAGGTTTAAGTGAGATGCATGCAAAACTCAGGTTTTGCCCCTCAAAGAAAAATCCATTCGAACAGACTGACATCCTCCTATTGCACGCAGTTACATAGCCTTTGACTCCTTCGTCAAAGTGTCTCTTAAGTTTGGCTGAAAAGCTATCTTGGGTGAGTGTAGCAAACCTTCCCTTTTTAAACTGTGCAACCTGCATCTTAAGTATATATTGGTGAAGAGGTTTCTTTGCAAAGTCACTTAGCCTGCGTGTGCCTCTGTTTTCCATCTGTAAAATGGGATTAATAGCACGTACTCACCTCACAAGGGTGTTCTGAGGATAAACATATTAAATATTGTGATGTGCTCCGATATTACTGATATAGAGGCCATATAAGTACCTCAGATAGATAGAAGGAATAGTCCGGATTCATATGACTTTTTGTTTGTTTTCGTTTGCTGCTTGAAAAGTCCTGCTTTTAAAAGTGGCTGTACTTTGGTGCTTGAAAAGTCCTGGTTTCAAAAACAGAAGTCTGTACCAAAGGCAATAGCATTTTCTGGCAGCTGGATCCCAATTTGAGTCAGACAGAGCAGCTGTTGAATTGTGATCGTGTAGGATTCTCACTGAAATGAAATAAAAACCTGCTCCTGCAGACATAGTCGCCAACTTCGTCTGTTCCCAGGGGGTGCTCGACTCCCGCCTCATCTTTTCCCACCTCCACCTGCCCCCGCTCCTCCTCCTCCACCCCCACCAGCACTTTCTGCATGCTGCTGAACAGCTGATCTGTGGCGCGTGGAGGAGTTGATTGGTGGGGCTGCTGGTGGGTGCTGAGCACCCACTATTTTTTTTTTTTTCCATGGGTGCTCTGGGGCTAAAGCAAGAAGTAGATGTTCAAATCCTTGCACAGGGTTTTAGCTTTGTGACCCCCCTGTACCTCCCATTCCACTAAATTCATTGGGAGCTGTGTGCTACTACAGTCTCCTGAAAATATACTTCAAAATATTACTGACAATGGAGACACTGCTTTTCTGCAACCTTTGGGGTTTTATAAGAGGTAGCTAAATTCCTGAACCAGTCATATTTCATTTAGTTTTTAAAGTTAATTGCAATATTTAATTTTTCTATGAAACTGGTTTTCCCTTTGCCACTCGTCTTGTCTTGTATTAAAGGCTAAAGTGGTGACTAGGACACTGGGTGACTTTCTAAACTAGTCTCTAAACCTCTCTGCCTACGGGGATAGTATTTACCTGTGCTGGTATTCATTTTGCCCTTGGAGTGCATTTCTGTACATATTCTCACATAGTTATTTTGTCTTGGCATCTGTACTAAATTTACTTAATATTGCAAATTTTTGCTTTTTTGTCTTCCAGTAAATTAAGAATCAATATAGATATTACTGTTGCCATGAAGTGTCAATGTAAGTATTCCATCAGCATGACAGTGCTGGTGGTTGTGGTTTTTTAAAAAAATTGGTATTGCTTTCAGATTAAAAATAACATGCTTATGATAACTTGTTCCGACATCTTGATTTTGGCTGTCCAAGAAGAGAGGATGATTGTTCTAGATTTTGTTGAGCAATAATATGTAGCTTTATTCCTGAGTCACAGGATTAGGCATAGTTAACTGAGAGCAGACAGGAGCAATTTATCAAAGTCGTAAGTCAGGCAGATCATAAACGTGCTCTGCTGTTTGGTGGCATTTACAACAAAACTAAGACGGAGAGAGGGTTAGTTTCATGCTGAGCTTGGCCGTGTTCAGTCAGTGCCTTCGTAATCGTTAAACACAGGTTCACAGCTCTTTTTCAACAAGCAGTGGGTAATTACATTTCATTTGTCTACATTGTAGTTTTTTGGTTTTTTTTCAGAGTAGCAGCCGTGTTAGTCTGTATCCGCAAAAAGATTCTTTTTTTATCCTTGACTGACAGAGAAAACAGTTTTTCCGAGACAGATTGTTGGTGTTAAGGTTTTGTCTACATTCTATATTGAATCCCTCTTTTCATGGGTCTTACACAGCTATAATATTTTTAGATTGTGTGATGCTGAAGTTTGTCTCATAATTGTTTTGATTTACAAGTACCCCATTCCCTACTCTCATGGGTTATTTTAAATGTTAATCTGCCACAAGAGTAGCAGATAGGAACTCTCTGAAATCTAAACCTGGCTCTGATACAGACTCTCTGTTTGGTCTTGGGCAACTCCTTAAACTGCTCTGCCTCAGTCCTGCCATATGATAAATGGGTACAATACTTAGTTACCTCATCAGGCTGTTATGACAATTACTGTTTGTCACGCTCTTGGGAGGTGCAAAGTGCTAAATAAGAGCTTAAATATTATCAGTATGCTTTTTGCAGTTAGTTTTAAATAAATCTATCTTCCAATGTGTTTTCCTTCTTTTAAAAAAACCAAATAGCTTAGTCTCTCTGTGGACTAGTGTCATTTTAGATTTGATAACTGCGTTTATGTAAATGGAAGAGATTTAAGTTTGCACTGATCAATTTGTGTGTGGGAAATGTGTATAAGTGTGTGTGTATATAGAGCTACAGTAATTACACTTCATATAATATTTTGTCCAGTACTTTCTGTTTAAGAAGAGCAGTAAATGAGCATTCTCTGAAAGTGATATATCAGTGAGAAATGATGCTTCTCCTAAAAACTGTCTCTGTCCCCTTCTCTCTCTGTGATGTTTCGTTAGGTGGATTGAAAAGTTTTTTCAGTCATCAGTTTCTTGCCAGCTTTTTTTCCTCTACTAGTATGGACTTGCATCCTGTTAATAAAGAATAGATTTTCTCACCGTAATTAGTTACTGATAGGTTTGAAGAGATGCTGTCAAGCTTGATTTCTACTGGATATTTTTTGTTTTTATTCATATTTATATTTTCTTTTAATATTTGCTGTTTTGTTTTGTTTTTTGAAACAGATGTGGGGGCTGATGTTTTGGATTTAGCAGAAACAATGGTTGTCTCTGCAGATGGCTTAGTTTATGAACCGGTAAGTTTATTCCATTTTCTTTATAAAGATGGTGCTCTTTATTAGCTGTGACATGCCTTTTTCATTTTGGCTGAACCATACCTCCAAAACTATTATCCAGTCCTGAAGTTGGACCCATGCAGAGTAACACTGAAGTCAGTTATGCTCCACATGGTCACAAAGGTTTGTCCATGCAAAACTGGTTTCAGGATTGGCTATGTGAGCTTAATATGCTCATGCTAGAAAGAAATGCTGTCCAGAAATGTATTTTCATTGTGACCATGGAACTATGTTTTCTGCATGCTCGCTCATTGTTAGTGTGCAAATTTAAGTCTTTAACTTAAGAAAACTACAGCATATTCCCTGTTCTTGGGTCCGCATTCATGAATAGATTTGGAATATTCTATAGCTATTAAGTTACATCACTATTAGGTAGCATGTGTGTTTCTATTGCTGAATTATAACAGCTAACAATTGGCTCTGTATTCATTTTCCTGTCAATTAAATAAATGAAGAACTCCCATTGGCAGCTTTGCTTAATTTTGCTTTGTGTTTCTGTAAAGAGAGAGTAGAATCTGAAAATATTTTCTGTTGTCTTCTCCCCCAATTTAGGTGTATTCTTTTAATGTTGGTTCCTTGAGTTGCTTTTTCATTTTGGGCTTTTCATGTTTTTCCTGTGAAGTGGTTCAACAGACTAACTCATGGACTGTTGTTTATTTTTCAAGTACCATTGTGTGCGTGGTTTTTGTTGTTCTCGTCCAGCTGTTGGAGAACCAGCTTCAAGTGTTACCTGAAGTGCAATTACAAGTTCCTTAATGGATGCTCATTATTGTGGTGTCTTCTTATCTTTCAATTGAGCAGACAGTGGTGCATCTGGATATGAGATCTGCTTGATGCTGTTTCCTCAAGTCATCGAGTCCCATAGCAATTATATGCTGCTTCCCTGAAGCAGCCTGTGGGTATGTCTACACAGCAACTAGACACTCACAGCTAGCCCATGCAAGCCGTCTTGGGATCGCAGGGCTCAGGCTGCGGAGCTGTTTTGTTGCTTTCTTGATTTCCCAGCTGGGCTGGAGCCCTGTAAAGTGGGAGGCTCCCAAAGTTCAGGCTGCAGCCCAAGCCTGGAAGTCTACACAGCCGTCAAACAGCTCCACAACTTGAGCCCTGTGAGCCTGAGTCAGCTGGCATGGGCTTTGCTGTGTAGACATACCCTATAAGTCTAACTGCAAGTCAGTACAGTGGGCCTGAGTGAATGGGGTTAAATACCTTGTCCCCGGGGAGTATATGCTGCATCACAATTGTCTGTTTAGTTGCAGATTGATTGATTAAACCCATCAAGTAGTTCTGTCTGTAATTTCGTGGAGACTGTTCAGTTTACAGTAGCTGAGGAAATGCATATGACGTTATTGAACCTTTTCACTTCACTGATAATTCTGTGCCAGGAACAACTTGCAAATATTTGATTCTATCCCTCTCCTTTTTCCTTCTGTCTAACAAGAGTCTCTTAGCTGGCCGAGACTGTATATTTTGTAACATTACTGTCAGCCTGTGATCAGAAAGAAACCGCTAAAAGAAGTACCCTAAACAGCCCAATGCTGGTTTGAGTTTGCCAGGTCTCAGAGTAGCTAATAAGACCATGTGCGGTGTCTGTGTTTTTTCCAGCAGTGAGGTTGCAAGTGAAAGTCAACACCAGAGACAGAAGTCACATTTTCAATCTTTACTGTTTGTGTCCCCTAAGAAATGGGGTCTAACTGCAGCAGCAGCAGCAACAGGTCCAGCCCATCTCAACTAACATCTTCTCTTTTCACCAAAAGGACAGTTATTACCATCTTTAGTATCATCTAATAGACTGTAAAAACTCTCTCCAACTAAAGGGAAAGGAAATAAGGGATGTTAAAATGAAAGCCTTACTTAATACTTTACGTTTCAGGTGCTTTACCTGTTTTTCCTTCTTTGCTGTGTCTGTAATAAAAGGTTAAAATGGTGTTCAATGGTGTGTTTGCCATGGCAAAAAGTAGGCTGAGGTTTCGATATACCAAATGCTGAGCCTTGTTTAACATAGTTCAGTGTTGGACCGTGACTGCACTTCTTTTATTTTTAAACTATAGTTGCTACCTTTTGAACTATGTATAGTTATAAAAATCTGTCTCCTAGCTCCACATTGTTAGGATTAACTAATGAAAAGCTAAAATTTAAAGTCCGCTTTGGATTTACTGTATATGGGAAAAGTTGGATAAATCTTTTAGCACAAAATAAAATATTGTTAAATCACCTTCCTTTTTCCTGTTCTGAATTTTGTGGAGAGAACTTTGGTGGGGTGAAGTCATTGGTATTGCTTTCTGGTTATGTGTTACTATGTGTTTTCTTCTTTGTTGCAGGTAATATTTGATCTTACTCCCCAGCAAAGAGAGTGGCAGAGGTAATAGATCATTCTAAAGCACTGATGTGAATGCATGTAGATTGGACAACGATAGGTCTGCTTTTCTTTTGTCACTGGATATAGCTCCGAGAATGTGCTCTGAGTATACCTAAGTCATGTTTAAAAGAAACAAACCCAACCCTATGTTACCTTGCACAGATACTGCCCATAATCGTGCAGTACACACCCACTGAAACTGAAGCTCCTTTATTTTTCCTCTGGCTTTTTAGAGCTGGCTAGTCAGCATTCGGTGTCTTTGCCATGAATGAGTACTCCTTTCATTTTGTAAAATATAAAACTGTATGATTTATCTATCAGTCCTTGTAATAAACCAGTCCTGACGCATTTTATCTAGTTTAATTGCACGTGCGGTAGTTTTGGTAGTTTCGTTATCATAGAATATCAGGGTTGGCAGGGACCCCAGAAGGTCATTTAGTCCAACCCCCTGCTCGAAGCAGGACCAAATCCCAGTTAAATCACCCCAGCCAGGGCTTTGTCAAGCCTGACCTTAAAAACCTCTAAGGAAGGAGATTCTACCACCTCCCTAGGTAACGCATTCCAGTGTTTCACCACCCTCCTAGTGAAAAAGTTTTTCCTAATATCCAACCTAAACCTCCCCCACTGCAACTTGAACTTGAACTGCAACTTGAACTCATTTGCCATGTTTAGATGTATGTCAGGGTCATTAAACCAAAATAACTCGCCACCTTCAGCAGTTGAATTGATTACTGTTAGCACTTAAAGTTTATTGTTGTTCTCTCCTTCCTCTTGGATGCAGCTGGGGAGAGAAATGCTCCAATGTACTGTATAACACAACAGTAAGCAGACAAGTGCATATGTGCTTTAATGCGAGACCCTGGAGATTGCATGCAGGACTTTGTTTAATATGAATTTAGGCCTAGGATTCATTCTGATTTGTTTTTGTTGGAATTGGGAGGTTGGTTGAGATGGTGATGAGGAGGGATGTGTGTATGGAATCCCAAACTGCTGAGTTTACCAATGGAGCTACTGCCAAAGTAAATGAATGGTTGGGCCTGCCAACCTTAACTGTATGCAGTGTTGTTGTAGAGCCATATCAGTCCCAGGATAGTAGAGACAAAAGGTGGGTGAGGTAATATCTTTTTATTGGACCAATTTCTGTTGGTGAGTGGGAGATGTTTCAGGCTTACACAGAGCTCTTCTTCAGATCTTTTCCTGAAGAAGAGCTCTGCATAAGCTCAAAAGCTTGTCTGTCTCACCAACAAACCTTAACTGTGTCCTTCACATCTGAAAGCTGTGTTACAGAATCTAAAGCCTCTTTAAATTCATGCTTAGTTCTTTAGGAATCGTTTTCTAGTTTTACCATCCTCATGGCATACTATGGGAGTCCAACATCAGTGCTTTTATTTTTATTTTTTAAATTGTGTATATTTGAGCAGTAGGAATGTTTGGCATATGTCTGAATTTAACATACCATCCTTTTGCTGAACTGAGTTGTTTTATAATATGTAACTAATGTACCTGACGGTAACTATGAATTTATTTTCTGTTACTCTGTTGCATGCATTCCCACTTCCTGTACTCATCTGTGTGATCTTTTAGGATGCTGCAGTTAATTCAAAGTAGACTGCAAGAAGAACACTCCCTTCAAGATGTGATATTCAAAAGTGCTTTTAAAAGTGCTTCAACAGCACTGCCACCAAGGTGAGAGAGAAATTGTTGCATGCAGCTGATTTCACTTTCTCTCATGACTGATTGCTTTCTTTAATTCATTTCTGAAGACAAAGTTATAATGGTGAAGAGACTTGTATGCCTCTGCCTTGCTTCAGGTTTCCCTGAATCCAAAGCCTTTGTCTTAATGTTTTAGAGACTTGCTGGTCTGGGTTGTGAAGAAATCAGTAACAGTCTGAACTGGATTGTATTTTACTTACATCCTTAGTGTGCCAGCAAACACTTGCCGGAAAGGTTGTTACTTTTTTATATGAATCCATTTGTGTGTGTTTAGCATTTTTATGGTGATCAGCACCCCACAAGATTCAAGACTCATCACTTACCTGTCATGTATTAATGCTGCTTAAAATTAGTTACAAAATATTTTTGAATATTTTAAACAAATTGTATCTACTTATTTTGATGAACTACCTTTCTAAAACAATTTCAGAGCCCTCTCTTTCAGTTCTTTCATTTCAACCATCAACAGGTTTTTAACCTGCTTTATCAGGCACTTGCATTTCTAATATAAATAAAAAAATATTAAATCAGAAACAAACATGAATTTTTTCTTTAAAATCATTTAAATAACATATATATAAGACTTACTGTGCATGTCCTTATTTGGTGTAAATTTAAAAAAAAAAAAGTTTCTCCTTTTCCAATGCCAATAAATGCTCCCTCCCATAGTTAGTACACTGTGGTCTACTACACCTTTCCCATGTCTGGGGAGCGACTGTATTCTTTCATCTTAGGCCACTGCTCAAGAGTGCTCAGAAGTGATGCTCCCATTTCATTATCTTCTGCTCCCATTTCATTGTCTTCTGGGGTGCCATTTAAACTACACTTTGGGCTGTTTTAACAAACTGTTTTCAGAAGGAGATCTGGAAACTTTCAGGTGACATGGTTATACCAGCAAATGTGAGCAGGGCAAAATTTCTTAAACAGATGTTGAAAACTTTTCTTGGTACATGGTCATTAATTAGCTTTCAGCAACTGTTTTTTTTTTTTTTTTTAATGTTTTGTGCTGTTCACCCTGGTCAGCACAGCTGACCTGAACAAACCATTTTCAATCTGAGTTGCTGAAAAGTGTTTCATGAGGTGACAGATATCCCAAGGGCCTGAGAAAGTCTTCTCTGTAATTGTTCTGGTTCTTGTCCATCTGGTTAGCCTCATCCCCTAGGAGTCTTGAACATTTGAGTGATGTGTTGAAACTCTGAGTGGCATCAGGCTGGCAAGGATATTGTTTATAAAATGAGCTACGCTTAATTTGTTTTCCTCTCAATGGGGGTGTGTAACTTTTGTGTGCTTAATCTACTATAAAATGTGCTTTTTAACATAGAAGTCCAGATGTTTTAAAGCTCATAATTTGTAATTACAGTTTGTTTTCCCTTTTCTGAATTTCTAGGTTGTACCAGAACGTTTATTTTCCATGGCAGAAGAATATGGTTTTCTAAACTTTACATTGATGCTATTTTTTTTACCTACATATAAAATAATCTCAATTACTGTGTTTTGAGCTGTTTCCCTGTTTCTTGTTCAAACAGGGAGGATAATTCGTTACTGCCTCCAGATGCATGCAGAATTCATGGTCATCTCTATGTCAATAAAGTGGCAGGAAACTTTCACATAACTGTGGGCAAGTATGTTCTTTTCACTTACTGAATATACCACAAATTGATCAAGACAGATGTGTGTGTAGTTAAGCAAAAAACTTTCTTTGGCTCACTTTTGCCTAGCTAGCTGCTTTTATCGTAATACAGATTCCCTTTCTGGTCATATTTTTCATATGGTATCTCTCATTTCAAACATCATATTTCTTCATGTCTGGTTGTAGTCAACATGAACTATGGAACTTTTTGAAATGTCTGCTGAAGTAGCTGCTTCTCCTGTGTTCAGCAATGTTGTCATATATCCATAAATTGAACCCTTACAGCTGATTAGATGAACTATTGCCTTTTGTTAACATGTGATAAAGTGACAGCTAATACTTTTAGAATGCTCGTACTTTCCTGTTATCTAATTGGGCCCAACCTTACTATACCTCTAACCCAGAGGTAGGCAAACTACAGCCCACGGGCCGGATCCCTCCTGCCTGGCCCCTGAGCTCCTGGCCCGGGAGGCTAGCCCCCAGCCCCTCCCCTGCAGCCTCAGTGTGCCGCACTGCCGGCGCAACGCTGTAGCCGGCTGGGCAGTGCAGTTGCAGAGCCGCAGCCTGCCCTGGTGCTCTGGGTGGCACGGCTGTAGCCCCGCCAGCCACCAGTGCTCCAGGCAGCACAGTAAGGGGGCACGGGGGGTTGGATAGAGGGCAGGGAAGTAGGGGTGGTGGTGGTCAGGGGCGGGGGTGTGGTTAGGGGTTGGGGCGGTCAGAGGGCGGGGAAGAGAGGGGTTGGATGGGGCCGGGGTCCCGGGGAGGGGTAGTCAAGAAGGATGGGGGGTTGGATGGGGGCAGCAGGGGGCAGTCAGGGGACAGGGAGAAGGGGTGGTTGGATGGGGCAGGGGTCCCGGAGGGCAAGTCAGGAATGAGTGGGGGGTTGGATGGGGCGGCAGGGGGCAGTCAGGGGTGGGGGGTCCAGGGGACAGGGAGTAGGGGGTGGTGGATGGGGTAGGAGTCCCGGGCGGGCCATCAGAGGACGGGGGGTTGGATGGGGCAGGAGTCCTGGGGGCGCTGTTGGGGCGAGAAGGGGTGGTCGGATAGGAGGCGGGGGCCAGGCCATGCCTGGCTGTTTTGTTTTCTCCGCTAACCAGCCCTCCATACAATTTTGGAAACCCGATGTGGCCCTCAGGCCAAAAAGTTTGCCCGCCCCTACTGTAACCGTTCAAGAGCAAAGCTGTCATAATAAAGGGCATATGTTTCGCAGCACAGATTTTTGTTAGTTGTATGAATGAGATAATATAGTTATAGAAGCATGTTAGGGAGTCATGACTAAATGTGAATCACAGTTTCCTGACATGCTTCTGTAATCATGTTGTCTTGTAAACACTTTAAACTAGAGATCTGTATTGGAAACTTATGCCTCTAACCAAGCCAGATCATTGTGCACTAGCATGGCTGGAGGTGTCATGTTCACATGCCATGTGTGGTTTCTGCAATGACCCTTTCTTGGCCTGTGACTGTGCTCTGATTCTTCTCCTGCCTTGCCGACTGTTCTTTCAGCATCTATATACCTCCTTAAACAGCTCCTCATTCTTTTTCTCTATCCCTGTCTGACATCCCTAAGAGTTGCTAAACCCCCTCTTCTCACTCTATGGACCCACTGAATAACCATATCTCCTTTTGTGGTTTCAACTATCATCTCTGTTAGACTGAATCCGAAACCTACACCTCTAGTTTTGTGTCTCAAAATTGCCTTTGACATATGTTGTTAGGTGCCCAGCTGTCTTCTCAAGCTCAGTCTGTTCAAAATTGAAGCTCTAATCTCTCCCCTCCTACTCTATCTCCGTTGCCATCTCTTCTGTCCTTCCTGCATCCTAGCACAACCTGTCTTTTCTCTCTCATCCCCTTCATATCTATGCTCTTGCTAAGTCCTGTTGCTTCCTTCCTTCTGGTCGTGTCTTGCCTTGATTATTGTAGTCTTCTAGTGCCTCATCTCCCAATCTTTTATTCCGCACCCCTCACCCCCCATCTTCAATTTCTCCAAAATGCATCTGCTTAGGATAGTCACTCAACTTTTAATGTCTAAATGGTGAAGGAGGGTTTCTTTAATTCTGTTAGGTGTAAACCTCACACTAGATCATAGGGTAGTAAAAGCAAGCCTAGAAAGAAAACTTCTTTTTGAGTGTGAAGAGGGGCTGGGGAAGTGTGCCAGTTTTCCAATCCATGCTGGTCCTTTCCCAGTGTGATTCTGGTATTCCTTTTGTTTTCCTTCTCTCTTTCCTCGTGCTCTTCCAACCTCTCCCAATGCACATACTATAGAGTCCCACAAATGAATCTGATAATCTGCCTACTCACAAGGCAAGTGCAGGGAAGTCCATATTAACCCCTGGCACACTTGAGCTGTTACATGGTTGGTCTTGTACTGTATTTGGCCATGCCAGGATTTTACAGCTTTTCCCCTTGCAGCTCTCTGGCTAGACAAAACCTATTGGTGTTTCTAAAAATAACTTTTTGTGTATATTGGAGGATTTTCATGAGCTTAATGTGTCTTCAGGTGTTACTCTGGTTGTCTGTACTGAGCAACGATGAAAATTTCAATGCCCATTATAAAGAGCTATTTTATTGAAATCAAGGGAAAACTGGTGATTTGCTTTATGGAAACCCCAATTTTTATTATTTGAGCTTCTCCTAAGTGTTCGTTAAATCACCACTTTATCAAACATGTTTTTGCTTTCTTTAGGGCAATTCCCCATCCCCGAGGCCATGCACACTTGGCAGCCCTTGTGAGCCACGATTGTAAGCTTTTACTGTCCTCTTTCAAAAAACACTGTTGGTTCATAGCATCTCCTAGCTACTAATTTGGGCATTAGTGTAGTATTGGACACATACTATTGCTGAGATATTTCTAGCTGAGTGATTTGCATTGTAAAAGAAATCGGAGAATAGGCTTCAGGATATTATATTGTAAAGTGACAAATCTTTTCATGCATTTGACATTCACAGACTATCTGTTTATGCTGATTGTGTAACAGTCATAATGTAAAACGATATGTAAAATAATATGTAAATAACAATAAAAAGCATGTTATAATAGTATATCTTGGATTTCAGAAGTATTGTATAATAATCTGTATTTTTCAGAGAGCTTGTTCCCCTGCAATATTTAGACTATAAAAGGTTTAAAATTTCTGACCTCATAAAGCATTATTTCAGTGTTTTGGATTACTAGTCAGGCTGCTGAATGTATATTACTGCAGTGTGTGTGTGTGTGAGAGAGAGTAAATGTTACTGAAAATTTAGCTTTGCTTCCTGACTCTTTACTGTTTAAGCCTCCAATCCTGCAGTGGCTTCCATGTGAATTTAATTTTACATGTGTGTATTCCCATTGCAATTAATCATGTGCATAAATCTTTTCAGGATTAGGAACTAAATTAATAAAATTATTCTTGCATTATATAGGTTTGTGCATTTAATTAATAAAACAATTTAATCTTTCCAACACTTTTGGTCAGCCTGAAATGTGAACTGTAGAGTAATTCCAGGTGTCTTTGGCTGCTTCTTGGCCCTTTAACTCTTGGGCTGTTGCAAATGCCTGTACATTTAGATCTACATTGTATTGCCTATAAAAATGGGGGGGAAGTGCTGAGTTAAAATTGAACATACATATTTTTAAATATTGATGCCAGTAAAGCAAGCTTTGCTTATAATAAATACACATTTGGATTTGTGAAAACATTTACAAAAGTGCAAATCCTGAAAACATTTTATATCCATCCTAATAGCATTAAATATTCCAATTGATGCTTTTCCTATTGTGCTGTGGGTGGGGGGGGGGTGTGAGAGAGAAATGTACAAAATTTTCATATTTCACCAAAATAAACCCCTTACATTTGGTGGTTCTTTTGTGTTGTCTTTTAGCATACAACTTCTCTCATAGAATAGATCACTTGTCTTTTGGAGAGCTCATTCCAGGAATTATTAATCCTTTGGACGGGACAGAAAAAATTGCATCAGATCGTAAGTGTTTCATGATGGAAAAATAATTTAGTATCCGAGATGCTGCTCTGTTAATTCTTAGCTTAAAAACTAACATTTTTCTTGAATTCTGCTACTAACAAATGGTACATTATGGTAAATAAGGAATGCATCATTTAGTTACTCTTTCTTTATCCTGCATCATTCATGGTGTAATCTTTTTTTTAACGGTACTTTGCTACTCCTTTGTTGCTTCTGATGTTGATTTGTAGTTGCACATACAAATGTACTGTATTTAAATTATGGCTGAGCACTCACCTGTGTGGACAAATTCCAAAAAGATTTACAGCTGTATGTTACAACTTGGACTTGCAGAGCCAAGTGTCATTATGAAGGAGACTGTCTAGTGGTTAGACTGTAGGACTGAGATTCAGGATTCTTAGGTTCTGTTCCCATCTCTGTTACCGACTCACTGTGTGGTCTTTGGCAAGTCATTTACATTTCCTCATTTATAAATTGAGGCTAATATCTACCTCACAGAGGGGCTGTGAGGATTAATCACGGTTTAGCACGTTCATTGACAAAATATATTGAACTCTTTTGGATGTGTTTTGTATTGTAATGTCACTGGTAAGATTACTTACCAGACTATTGAAAAGAAATGGAATTAATTATTTCTGCGACATGAATATTTTAATATGCTAAAAAACTGCAAAACCTTAGACCCACAGACCTTGATCAGACAGCAGAGCAAATGGTGTTACTTTGCTGATTTGAAATACCATTTCACTTGAAATGATCATTTCAGTTGTTTGGTGGTTTGTTCTGCTAGGATGTTGAATAAAGAGGGATTATATTATAAATACATGACAAAATGCTGATTGTCTATGTTAAGGAAAAGTTAGCATATGTGACTCCATTTTGGTTTGGGGCCCACCATTGTCTAACCTCTCAGGTATAATTCGTAACATCTACTATGAGTTCTCTAATGAACTGTCTCATCTAGGGAAACTTTCTGAAAATCCAATCAATTCAGTCCCACTAGTGTTAAGAACACTGGAAGAATTTACATAGACAGACTGTTGGCTTCAGCCACCGTTTTAAAACCACTGCCATAACCCCTACTTCTGTGTGCAGGGTTACATGAGATGGTGGTTAAAACAGCAGTGGCAGCCTGTGGCTTGTCTACAGTAGGGCCCTGGAAAGATTTATACACATGCTAAACTTCACACACTGAACTGTCCTATTGATTTCAGTGGGACTAATCACAGTGTGTGAAGTCTGGCATGTGCAAAAATTTGTCCGAGGGCCTAACCCTCGAAATTAACACTGATAGAGCCAAACCAGTGTTGTCAACAGTGGGACTTTTTGAAATTGCCCCCAGGGTAGACAGAGCTTAATAGATAATATTCTTAATGGTCTTTTCAGAAAAATACTTGTTTAACAGCTGACTATCTCTCTCAAATGATTTTTACCCTATAATTAGTGTTAATTCAATAGTAAGATTTGTTTTGTTTTAGACAACCAGATGTTCCAATATTTTATCACAGTCGTGCCAACAAAACTCCATACGTATAAAATTTCAGCAGAAACTCACCAGTTTTCCGTGACAGAAAGGGTAAGTCCCAGTTAGAAACCAACCCAAAGAAAAGGTTTTGTTTTAGTGTGTTTGTACTTGTCAAAGGTAGATTGGTTTTTGCTTTTAAAAACTCTTCAGGCAGGTCAGTTTACTAAAATACTCCAGGATATGTTGGGATATTTGTCAGTGATGATATACTGAATGTAAAATATATGTATGTGGCAACACGTGTTCAGTTATTTGCATTAGCGTCTTGCATCCAAAAATCCTGGGTCCCAATGTTAGATTTAATGATTAGCAACTAGCCTTTCTTACTTCACTTGTGGCTAATAATGAAAACAGGTTCCCATAAATTATCCTAATAGGCTTGCATGATAAATACTTAATCCATCTCTATTCCTTTTATTCAACTCCTGTTGGATTGAGTAACCCGAGGGTACAGAACACTACTGTTCTTTGCCTCCCAGCTATTTTGATTTGCATTTGGTGAGGCACCTACTGTTAATCACCCAATCTCTTGATTGTCAAACTTCTGTTATCTTTAGATTTGGTGTTCATTATAAATTCCAAATCTGTAAAAAGGGAAACCCAGCTATTAGTTACTGCAGTCTACTCCTTGCCAAATTTTGTCATGTGAATGTTCAAAGACTGATGTAAATAAGAAAAAAGCATTCTAATATATTCTTGTTACACCTGTCTCATTATCATTTCCCTAGTCAGTGGTTGAGCTCAGGTTGATCTTGATATTTACAAGCTGAAGGAACAGCTCTTTGAAAAGCTCAACTATGAAAGGCAGGCGGGGGATACTGGGCTTAAAAAAAATTGTATAGTAATGATCATTCACTTAAATGTAACTTGTATGAAATTGATTATTCTACAATCTAGTGTTTCCTCAGTCTTTATTTTGCATTGGGAGCACTATGCTATGCTTCATAGACAATTGTTTTTGCTGTATTATCAAAGTGGGAGAAAAAGGAGTGATTTTTTTTTTTTTAAATTCAGCAGTGGGACATTCAGGATATTGAAGAAAAGGTGGGGAGGTTATTCTGTAGAGAATTGAACTCAAAACAGGAACAAAAATTAATCAGTGATCTGAATCTTGCAAGATACATTTCAGTCTCCTTACTCCTCCTCCTCATCTAGCATTTTGCCATTCCTCTGCAGGACAGTGTCACTGCTCCTTCCAAGGCACTGGCATCTGGAACAGTTTTTCTAAATCTCTCCACCTCATTGACTCTCCATCTCACTTTACATCACAGCTTTTCTCCCTGTACCTCCTTTCTCTCTTTCTGCTTGGAAAAAATATTTATTTTATTAGTAGTAGTGATTTATTTAACTCTGTAAATCTTTTGGGGATTCAGTTGGTCTGAAAGATGCTACAGAATCATAAGCTCCTAGGAGGAAGTTTTTATGAATAACTGAGGTTGTGGGTGGGATTACAGTGATGTGCCTCGCCAGGCAAGCCTGCCTGTTAACAGTATAGTTCTTCTTTTAAACTAATAAATGGTCTGAGGAAGGCTATTAGAGAGAGAACAGTTTTCCAGAGAAAAATTGTCTAGTGTGTAAGTGGTGGTGTTGTAGCAGACTTCAGAATGTGTCCAGAGATTGAAAAACCCAGGATCCACATTGTGCCAACTCCTCATGGTTAAAACCTGACCCCTGTAGGGCCTAATAACGTCCGTAGGAGATACAGTGGGGAACACAGCTTGTCCTTGTCTATGGTGACTACAAAGCCATGGTTAAAGTAATGTTAATTAATGCTGCTGTTTGAAAAATTGTTTGAATATGTTAAAATGTATTACTGTAGAGAAGGTCTGAGCGATAACCAATACCTATACCACATAGCTCCACTTTTCTACATATAGTAGGGCAGATCCTCAGCTGCTGTAAAGTGTTGTAGCTTTGTTGAAATCAATATAGCTATGTCAGTTTATACTAGCTCAGGATCTGGTGTTGATAGGAATAGAAATAGAAAGTAGAAATATTAGACCAAAATGCCCCAAAAAAGATGTTTTTTCTCTTTAATGTAGCTTTAGAATAACGGTCAGGCTGTCTATAGCAATCAGAAAAGAATCAACTCTTGTTAGTGCATCCTTGGCTCTACATACTGACCTTAACGGCCTCCATCCAGCTTTTTTTTTTTTTTAAATGTGTAGTAAAGTCTGTCGGTATCTGTCCTTATTGCTTAATACAGCCTGTTGGTCTTAAAATTCTGAAAGTACGTATGGGTTTCTTCTGTGATATGGATTTGTAATTATTGCAATTAATAAAAGCACTTTGTATGTAGCTGATAAATTTGGTATATGACGCTCACATCCTCTTACTTTGGTAACTAAAAGCAGCTGTATATCATAAATATAACCTGGTTATACATGTCAGCTGAATTTACTGGAGAAAGATGAGATGTCTGAAGTTTTCAATCAGTTGTCCCTGATTTTGAGTTTCCAGTATACTGGATGCTCTTTAGTAAAAGGAAAGAGTGTATTGAATTCTCAGATAGGATGAAACTGCTCCATGATACATTATCTTTCTGTTTAGTTTTGCTCTTTTCTTATGTAGCTTACTTCTTTAGTCTATTCATTGCTGAATATATCTTCAGTGAATTAGTTCTTTGCTACCCTGTGCATTTACTCAGCAGCTCCCAGGTTATTTTATCAACAGCTGTCACTAGCATGCAAATAGCTGCAAATTTTTCAGGATGACTTCAGATAGATGTGACTTCTTTTCTCTTGAAAACCATTCAAAAGAACTTGAATTTCTAGGTTTTAAACTGCTTTGTACTTGACCATCTTAATGATCAAGGAGAGGCAGGAAAGTGAGGATAGTAAGAAGTGTGTTAATTTTGAAGAAAATTCTGAATTTGGGGAGTATTATGCCAGTAAGAAATCATATACAAGAAGCATAGAGAGGTGAGAATTAGAGAGATGAGAATCAACTTGGGAAGTACAGGCTAATACATCTGGGAGAAAGAAACTGAAACAGAGATTTTCAGACTTGGAAAGTGATGATACCAAAAGAAACCTCTGGGAGACAGTGGGCAGCAAAGGAGATGTGACCTTGCAGCACAGTATGGCAACAGAAAAGCAAATGTCTTTGGGCTACATGTGAGAGGTATTATGTAAATGGCCTTGATGAGATTGTCAGGAGTAGTGTGCTCTGTTCTGGACCCCTCGGTATAAAAGAGTTTTTCACAAATTGGAGGAAGTTATAAAAGTGATTAAGGACACCGATTTGTCTGGTGGTTAGAGCAAGGGGCTGGGAATCAGGAGTTTTGAGTCCTTTTCCATGAGTTCTGACCTACCTGGATGTTTGATTTTTGAGTCCAATTACTTAGTGTGGATTTTCTAAAATGGTCTCTAATTTTGGATTCCTGTCTTTAGACCCATTGGGTTAAAATTTTCAAACATATGAGCCTGATTTTCAGAAGTATTGAGCACCCATGCTCCGAGTGAAGACAATACAATCCGTGGATGCTCAGCAACTCTGAAAATTTGGCACTAGATTTTGAAGGGTCAGCACCCAAATTCATATGTAGGGATCTAATAAATAAACCTATAGCTCCTCTTGACTTCACTTGAGGTTGTGGCTACTCAGAAACTCTGAAAATGAGGCCCACATGTCTCAGATGAGGCACCTAGAGGCTGGTTCTTAAGATCTGGACTATAACCTTTCTCAGCCACCTCAGTTCACCACTCTGTAAAGTTGGTACAACGCCTACATGTAGTGAAGTTTAAAGTGCACCTGGATGCTTCATACTTAAGGGAAGAAAACACTTATAGGCTAGAATGTTTCTTTATGGCCCAACCCTGTATTAGGGGCAGTGCAAGGCTGCAGCATCCTGGGACATGTGTGGAAGGCTGCACTTCTTCCTGGTGTACTTGGCCTGTTTCATGGAATGGGACAAGGCCATGACCATTATATCTTTCCCTTCCTTTTTGAGGCAATTACAGGGGCGCAGGGAGGAGGCAGTCCCTGGCCCTTACAGGTGTCTGCTGCCCTTATACTCCCAATCTGTACCCCATATACCTGCATAAAGGACAGGGATGATCTGGTTTTAAGCTTGGTCCTTAAAGAAATGAATTAAGTAAACCCGTATCCTGAGAGGAGTGTGTAAATTGCTCAGTTGTAGAATTAAAGGAGGGCAAGTACTAGTCACTGGTATTGAACAAGGGTATGCAATGCAAAGGGCAAGTAAACAGGAAAGTGAATAGTGACTTGCTAGCATAAAGGTCTACAGTATAAAATAGTATCTCATCCCTACTTTGATCAAAATCTAGTTACTATGTGTCACCTTGTTGCTCTGTTGTCTCATGTTGATTACTGACTGTCCTAACAAGTTGCTCTTTGTCAGCCCTGTCCATTAGATATTGCTGTGCATGTGACTGATGTGAGACTACTAACTTTTGTATGTTTCTCTCTTTGCCCTCAGGAAAGAGTGATTAACCATGCAGCTGGCAGCCATGGGGTATCAGGGATATTCATGAAATATGACATCAGTTCACTTATGGTGACAGTAACAGAAGAACACATGCCCTTTTGGCAGTTCTTAGTAAGACTCTGTGGTATTATTGGTGGAATTTTCTCAACTACAGGTAACCATCAATGCATTCCTTCTTGTGACCTACCAGGTAGATAGAATTATGCAACTAAAGGCCATAAATCCAGCGTCCACCCTCGTTACGCTACTCGTTTTGTGAGTTCATGCAATAAGCTATTAGGTATCTATTCACAACTAGTGAGTGGGTTATTGGTTTGTGCATGAAATGCTATGAATTTCTAATACTGTGTATAGAACATCCCCAGTACACTATGGTGGACTTGCCATTTCTTTTCTTTTCTAATTAAAACCATAGTTTGTTCATTACTGGAAGTTCGTGGATATACACTACAAACTGGTGTGACCTCTAATATTCTGTCTGACTCTATACTGTAGTTGGGGCCTAATTCTGCTAACCTTGTCCAAAACTTACTGAGGTAAAACTCCCATTAAAGTCATCATGAGGTTTTTTCCTTGGTAAGTCTTGAATGGACCATAGGATTTGGCCCCTGAGAGAAACAGCTAGCTTTACCTGAAGAGGCATCTCAATTCACTGATTACCCAGGGCCAAAATGAATCATAAAAAGAATCAGGTTCCTCTGTGCCTAAGAATTATTAATACCGTTGCTTTTAACTTGAGGAAAGTATCTTCCTATTCTGTACTGAAACTGCTGAAACAGAGACGATTTTAACCTGTGAACATTAGCTGTCTTGTTGAGTGGATGCTTTTTGCCTCACAAAACTGATTTGTCTACGCTGACAGCATTTAATGATGAATTAGCATAACCCGGGCAAAAGCCATTGTATTCTTCTAAGTGGGTATATTTTATCCATTATCAAAACACTTCAGAGTACTTCATTTGTCTAGAGGAAGGGTTGTACAATGTACTCCGTGTTCCAATGAGAAAATGAATCGTTCACTGAAGTATAGGTTCCTCTAATTTTGAAATTAGAGAAATTCAAAAAAACCATAATCATCGGCCAAATTACATAGGTAATTAATAATGGCTTCGGTGGTCTCTGATCCCCTTTAGTCTTTGAGCTTGTAACCATGCTTGATACCTAGCAGTTGTTTGGTTTTCCCCATCTGCACAATGGCCATTGGCACATCCTTCCTGTTACCTGAAACCACTTTTTTCCCTCCTCTGTGACCTTGTTCCCAGGCAGGCAGTTACTTTTTCCCTGCCTTGCTCGAGTGACGTTTCTGGATTTATCAACAAGCATCTGGCCCAACAAACGGTCTCTGAAACCAATTCCATTTACCTCATGTGAAAGAATAGTTTATTGGCACTTCTAAAGAAATAGAGGGAAAAGCTTAGCATAAAATGTGCCTAGAGCAGTGCTACAGAAAGCCTCACTGTAGACTGGCATTGCTGTTTGGTTCTGGATTGCTTCCTGTGACAAAAAGTTCCTTTTAACTCTTACTACCACTGCTAATGGTACAAGGTTTACAGGTACCAAAAGAACCCATGTTATTTCATTGAATAACTTCATTAGCTCTGTAAGCCCTTCAGAGATCACAGCTCTGACTCAAAGGATCAGAGTTGTGCCCCTTGCACTAGTGGTGGCTGGTTTGGAGTCAGATTTGGGATTTTTGGTTATTCAGAGCATATTTCCAATTCATTCGAGGGGCAGCACGTGTGTAGCACATGACCAATGACACGGACATGACCTTTGTGAAATTCATATAGGCTTCTGTCCATTGTAAAAACAGCTTTCAGCTTCTTGTGGGAAGCTGAGTTTTCCTGTCAAGTTTTTTTCAAGTGGGTGGTGTAATAAACTGGTCAGTCTGAATCACAGCTTTTGGTTTTTGTTTCCCCCAAGCCAATGAATAAATAGTAATGCGAATCTCCTTGTTGATTAACTTAATTCCCTGGTGCTTTTCTGACACAAAATTTGTTTTTTGGAGGGGTCACATTTGCATGGAAAAAAATGAGTGGTTTCCATTTCAAAATAGAAATCTTTGTTAAGAAAATGAAAAATATTTTTAAATTTTTTTTTTTTTTCAATGCATGCATTGTGGTCAATTGTACTGAAACGGAGTTTAAGTTTAAACTTGATGTGGTGCTGTTATTGCAGAAGCCTCTTTTTACACAGTCCTCATTTTATTCCTTTTAAAAAATCAAACCCTGTTTGATATTACAGGCATTTTACATGGCATTGGAAGATTCCTAGTGGAAATTATCTGCTGTCGTTTCAAACTGGGCTTACACAAACCTACACCTGTAAGAATATTTTCTTTTCTTATAATAGGAATTAAGGAAATAGAACAACTATATACTAGCAAAGTAAAAGATTTTAAAAGATAGCTAGCTGTAATGAAAGAATACAATTGTATGACCTAATCCTGTTCCAATTGAAATCCATGGTAAAACTTCGCTTGATTTCATTAGGAGCATGTTCAGAAGTTTTTAAAAATTGTTTGAACAGCGTGGGTCCTTAGCCAGATTTGTAATAAGAGGACAGTGATGTTCCCTGGAAAATCTACTACATAAGTGGGGAAAAAACCACACACTTCTATGGATTTAAGGATCCAGAAAAGCAGAGAATGGAGGACATGCGTATTTTAAAAAAGCAAAATGCAACAGATGAAGTTCTTGAACAAGATATTAATAATGTTTTCGTTTTGTTAGGTCCTACTTCCGGATGGCCATATAAACAACCACTTACCTCTAATTACAGACAACAGTATGCATTAGCATCTCCTTGGGAAACTTTTTTTTCTTTCTGCCTGCCTGATACAGAAGACAATTTTTATAATAAAGAAAACATTGTGCAATATGTTGAGACAGTGCTGATGGGAAGCAAAAATCAAGCCTTTTCAAAAAACAGTCTGTGTAATTTGTCTCTTTTAAGTGCACATGGAATCGAAGGAGGCCAGGAAGCCCTGTGAAGCCAACCTCTTCTTGAGCTAGCAGAAGCATTACTGAAGAGAGACAATATTTGCAATGAAACTGAGTGTCTTTGCAAAAACTGCCATCAGCGCTGAAGTGTCAGTGTAGTGATCTGGATTCCAGGCCTGCGAAGTCAGGCAAACACCTACGAAAGCTAACACACATGCAGAATGCAGAGAGATCCCCATGCAGTGTTGAGCTTGCAGTGCAGCAAGCAAGGGTGGCTGTGATAATTGTAGTTTAAGAAGCCAGGATTTGCTGCTAGGTTTTCAGAAATGAGACATGAGTTTTTTTTATTTTTATTTTTTAAATGAGTAGGTAGAGGAGGCTTGGATACTATGCTTATGGAGGTGGGGGGAACTATTGAAAACCCTGAAATAGAAGCTGGCTCAGGGACTAAGACCGAGCCACAGCACTTTCAGCAGTCACTGCCATTCTCCAGTAGCACCATTACCTATCTACAAGAGGAAAAAGTGCTGCAGAGCAGGGAATATGGCATTTCTCTGTGTCTCTTCTTATAGCCGCTTTTTGCCAACAATCCGATTCTCTCCGAGTTTGAGCCAAGGAATCAGGAATAGTAAGTCACTGTTGAAAAGGTGTTTGACCGGACTCGTATCTGTTTTCCTATCCCAGGGCTAAACACAGTCTCCAGAAAGTAGGAAACCACCTCTCTGCTATGGCTTAGAAAAGAAATGAATGTCTTGTGATTAGGTGGGCCACAACACTGCTTTTCAAGAATAGACATGTCCTCTACCTGCTGCTGGAACATAAGCTTTGGCAAATAAAAAACAGGAGAGTAAGAGGAGGGAGAAGAGATTGAAGGACAAATGACTAAGAACAGCAAAGCAATTTATTACTAAATACTGCAGAAGCAAGTAAACTGTCAGCCAGTGAGTCTGCTGGACCACCCCGGGTATAGTAAAGACAATCACCAAGGAACAGGTGATGGCAGAGAATTTGAATAAATTTCTCTGCAGTATAGGTGATGAGGAAGAGTTTAAATTTACACGTCATGAAAGTTTCGGGGGGGGGGGGGGAGGAGGGATGGTGGTTGTTTTTTAAGTAAATGGAGCATCCTGAGCTTTATGCTGGAATACATTAGTGGAGTTGGTGGCGTTAAGAAACTAAAGAACTAAGTACTGTAGCTGAACTACTGACCAAAACATGTCATTAAGAAACCCAACTATTCCACCAGAGAGTACACAGTGTATAGGCTGATTTGCATCACCCTGATTTTTGTAGAGGTAATGCCTCTCTAAATTGTGAGAATTATGCAGAAGAGCATTAAATAAAGAGTGGGAAGGGAAGAACCTGTCCATAATTTGTTTGGATGACTGAAAAAGTCCCAAGTTTAAGGAAACTAGGTCATCTGAGGTCAGAGGTAAAGTTTTTTCATAGATTTAAACTGACTGAGATGGGAAACAAAGGTCTTGGCTACCTTCAGCACGGAAACCATACATAGTGACTGCATTAAGGGGCATGGTGCTTCACGTGTCCTTGCAACCTTGTAGTGTATCCACACAGTTTTGCCGTTCTTGATGGAACCAGTCTAGTGCATTCACATGGGTCTTGTATTGCAACTGTGGTACTAGTGCATTCCATCATATAGTGCCCAGCACCTTTGCTAGGAGCAGGGGCTTTTGGGGTAACTTCCAGATATGAGGCACTGCATTGTGAGATGGAGTTAGAGGCAGTTGTACCATTGTAGCTGCCATGCTTGTTGCTACATGTCCATACTGGGGTGAAGCCATTATAGTCTGCGCCAACTCATCTGGATCTGAGCTGAAGGCTTTGTTCCCAGTGTTACAGCTAACTAGCATTGCAACCACACCTTGGACAGCTATTCTGTGTGGATGCGAGAAGGCACACAAGGGTTGCAAGCATAAGCCATCTTATTACAATGGTTTCTTGTAATGCTTCATTGCTTTGTGTAGCTGGGCAAAAGAGTAGGGTTAAGTGTAAGTGTGTGGCTTCCCAGTGAACAATATGAATGCTAGCATTGTTCAGTATTATTCTGGAAGGTAGGTGAGACAGGAAACTAGTGAAGTTGCATCTTAAATGTAACTTCTCTTGAATTAGTCAAGTTTAGGGAAGAGTGTGACCAAAGAAACATATAAAATGCGTATTTGGGCAGTGTGATGGTTGGTGACAGTCACTATAAACAAGTGTAAGGAAACATCCATAGGAGGGAATATTTAAACCATTCAGAGAGTCCTTCATTATGAATTTGTTACTTCTTTGTAAGTTCTTCAGCTCCAACTTCCTTCAAGCCAGCGTCTTCAGCTGCTGCCACTCTAGCAGATTATTCTCCCTCCTGCTTCTGCTTGCACTGGTTCTGATGACCTACGTTTTTGTTTGTCTCTGCTGAATGCTCTCCAGATTGTCCACATTGTTCGTAGTGTAGTGCCCAAATACTGGAAACGGTACTGCAGTTGACGCCTCACCAGTGCCAAGTACAGCAAGACAATTACCTCTTGTATCTTACATATTATACGCCTGTTAATACACCCCAGAACATAAGCCTTTTCTGCAGTTGCATCACATTGTTGACTCATACTCAGTTTGACACCCACTATAACCCTCAGATCCTATTCAACTGCCTGCTGAGTTATTTCTCACTTTGCATTTGTGCATTTGATTTTTCCTTCCTAAGTGTAGAACTTTGCACTTGTCTTTATTTAAATTCATTTTATTCATTTCAGACCAATTCTCCAGTTAGTTGTAATGCCAAGTAAAACATTCAAGTATCATCGTGTCCAAATTAAACCCACCTCCCAAGTGCTAGAAACCTCCTACAAACACTGGACATATATTCCAAATATCTGAAAGCCCTCAGAATGGCTGGTTTTCAGGTGTCCACCACCTGGAAACTGCATTGTGTTCTAAGAGGTCAGAAGACAGAATAGTTGAGAAACTGTTATAACAGCATTCTAGAAATTGTGTGTGTGTTGTTCAAAAGTATGTTAACGCTTGCAGACCATAGAAGAAATAAAGGGCAGTAAAAACGACATTAAGTGGGTCAAGCTTGCATCAGAAGAATGATGAGGGTGGAGAAAAATTAGCAGCCACATTTTCCAAAGTAGCCAAATTGAAAGCTCAAAGGGCCAACTTGGGTTTGACTTTTCAGCAGTGCTAAGCACCTGCAAATCCCCTGACTTACATAGTTAGGCTATGTCTGCGCTACAGCTTATGTCGGTATAATTTATGTTGCTTAGGGGGGTGAATAAACCACCCCTCTGAGCAACGTAAGTGTTGGTGTGGACTGTGCTCTGTCCGTGGGAGTTTCTCCCCTCGCCCTTGCTGCTACTGCTGCTCGCGGGAGCTAGAGTCGTTAAGCCAATGGGAGAGCACTCTCCTGTCACCTTAGAGCACCTACATTGTAGCTCGCAGCTGCACCACTGTAAGCTCTCTAGTGTCACTGGGGCCTCAGTGCTGAACGGCCACAGCTCCAACAGAGACTGGACACGAGGTTGAGTTTCCAGAAAGAAAGGCACCCCAAACCAAAACTTCCTGAAAATGCTGGTTAGGGCTATTAAATGTGGGAAGGCAAAGAGTAAGATGCAATAATGTAGATATATATTTACTTGTATACTATTATATTTATAGCTGTATATAAGTACAATGAAGACCGTTGGGAGACTGTTCATATCGTGTATCATAATACAAGAACTAAAGGGCACTTAAAGGCAAGACATTTTAACTGGATTAATGGAAGATTGTTATGTAAGGTATAGTTAAGTTGAACTCTTTTCAAGGCACTAGGAAGAATAAAAAAGAGGGACACATGAATACAATCTGCAGTTACGTTAGCTGCAATAATTTTTGGGTGGGGGAAACTGATCATGAGCTGGGTAAGAAACAAATTTCTATTTCTTTCCCCTCCATGCCCTCGAACAAACTGTGATATAATATAACGTATGTTTCTGACTGTTAAGTTATTAGATCCCCTTCCTCATCTGCCATAGGTAGCTGCCAAAGGCAGGATGTGAGTCTAGATGGAAAAATGATCTGACCAGGTATGACCTCTACCATATTTCTTAAAGAAAATACAGATGATGTGTCTGTGGGGGAAATGTCAGAATTAGGATGACCATACCCACGATCAAAGACAGGCGTGAGTCTCAACATTCAGGCCCTGAGCATCCACCCAATATTTTAGTGCTTGTTTCCTTTTAAGGTTGTTGGGATGCTCGAGCTTTGCTTTTAGATGTGTTGTGCTTCTTTTTTGACTTTCATTAAGATTACTTTATAACTTATTTGCACTTGCAGCCTCCTTGCCTTGAAAAGCTTAATCTGTCCCACCTCTTGGCTTCTAGTGCCATACCACATAA